GGACCCTGCTTCAGCAGGGGGTTGGACTGGGTTATCCCCAGAGATCCCTTCCATCCCCGACCAGTCTGTGATTCTGTTTAAAAGAACCTCTGGCTTCTTGCCATTTACAGGACATGCAAACCAGCCATGGACCAGTTTTTAAATTTAGGACTGAGTCAAGACGATCCTCATCCTGGATCAGAGACCGCCAGTTCTTTATTTTCCTGTATCTGAGGCAAGCGCAGACAGCACGGGGAGGGACATGTCTTCACCCCACACTCCCTGCACATCCTCAACAGAGCGATGACGCCGCTGCTGTGAGCGAGCCCTGCTGGAAACAGGCTGCCCGCAGAGTGGTGGAAGAGCAGCACAGGGAAGGCAGATGGAAGATATGAGGTTGTCGTGCACCAGGATACCTCATTCCCTACCTACAGGAGGGAGCAAGCCAGCTTCCCGCTTCATAGAATCCGATGTCTTCTCAACTGCCATCATGCTTGCTGGCACCTCAACTCACCTCAGCTTCCAGCTTAGGCAGACAGAAAGCTCCTGAAATGAATTAACGGTATTTTGGTATCGGTTGCTAAAAAGTTCTTGTCAGAGCAAATATCTAAGACTTTCACAGATTATTTCAAAAGATGGAAGTAGTAGACACTCCTTAGGCAGGAGTAGTTCCCTGAAAGAAAAGACCCACAGATTTTTCTTCTTAAAGGGATGCTCATTGTCTCTCAGCCTGCACAGCCCAGCACGCCTCTGAGCCAGTAAGCCTGAGGAGCTTGGCCCACATTCAAGAGGTCTTCCATGGGATCTAGCACAGGATAAAATAGGTTAAGACATGGTTTGAGGACACAAAGCTTCAAGGAGTTGATGCCTGTTATTACTTGAAGCGTACTTGAAGCTAGGATGAAGGAGACAGTTGTCAGGCTCTGTCTGTTGTCAGGGAACGGAAGGAAGTTTGTGGTCTCCACCTCTTGTGCCCTCACACAGAGGACATGCCGAGGATCAAGGGAGAAGTAGAACACCACAGTTCGATAGTTTCCTGTCCGATGTGCCTGACTGATGCTTATCACCAACAAAATCTGAGAAATAACTTTGCTTTCTGTAGAATAAACAAGTTCTCACACGCTTGAAGAAAATGGGAGCAAAAGCATCAACTGTTTCAAAATTCACAACAGTAAATTACGAGTGGAAATTCTAGAGAAAAGGGCTTCAAGGCTACTTCTCATCAACATTGATCAGAAGAGATCCAGATCTGATCAGCTTTTGTTTTCAGCACACAACAAAGCCTTCTTCCAGACAGAAGGCAAATAAACAAACTTTTGTTCACCAGTGTTAAAGACCCTGTTTGTAAGAAACGGGGCCTCACGCAACGCATTTTTTCTCTTTTAGTTTTTTAGCTATAAGAGAAAGATAAGGAGAAAGACAGGCAAAAATCCAGTCATACACTTCACTTCAACAACCACCTGCAGAACATATAAAGAAAAATCACAAACCACATTTGCTGTATGTGGACAGCTGGCTGCAAAACAGCATCTGAATTTCAAAATGGAAGACACTGGTAGAAACGTGCCAGTGTGTCCAACACGAGCATTGCTCAGAGCAGCTGACAGGAGTCAGGCAGTCACAAACCCCCCCACCAAATGCACCTTGGAAGTGTTACCCGAACAGCACTTGCTGGTTATTGGGGTGTAATCGCAATCAAAAGCTGTCCTGCACTTCTTTTTTTTTTTTTTTAAAGCACAAATCTGTAATAGACCCACGGAATCACAGAATGTTCGGGGTTGGAAGGGACCTCTGTGGGTCACCCAGTCCAACCCCCCACCGAAGCAGGGTCACCCAGAGCAGGCTGCACAGGACCACATCCAGGTGGGTCTGGAATATCTCCAGAGAAGGAGACTCCACAGCCTCCCTGGGCAGCCTGGGCCAGGGCTCCGTCACCCTCAGAGGGAAGCAGTTCTTCCTCATGTTCAGATGGAACTTCCTGTGCCTCAGTTCATGCCCAACATAAAAGTTATTGCTATATTGAGTATTTGTTGTGGCAAAGCACTTTAAAGTAGCAGGTTAAAGGGTCGATGCTTTGGCTTGGTGCCAAAGTTCTTAAGGCTGAGCAAAACAAAGACAGTATCTGCCTTCAGGTAGGTAAGTCAAGCTTCCCTATTAAAAGGTGATGAACGAAGCTGACCGAACTCTCTTACTTGTCTTTCCTCCACACAAAACATTTACCACTTCCTAAAGCACACAGCATTTTCTTCAGTGAAAAGTTCAGTTATTTCAAGTTCAATTCTCTGAGCTGCTGAATACTGCTCAAATACTCAATATTCCTTTAAAAAAAGAAAGAACTAATAAATAGAAAAATCAGACCTTAAATCCATGTGTATGTCACACGCTTGTGGATAAAGAGGGAGTGTACTACGAGAAGAGTGAGAACTTGCAAACTGAATATCCAAACTATCTTTCACTGAACTAAACAGGAAGGATCCACTGGCATCAACGAACATCAGGTCAGGTGCTTAACACAAGCTGACCACTGCGGTGCTCAAAGGGCAGCAGCCTCTCACACACTGCTGTTTTTCCACCTATTCCCCTCATGACAGCTCATAATTTACAGCGTATTTCAAAAATAGCCCATTTATATTACATTTATATTTAATCCTGGATTCTATTTCCAGATATCCCTCTGCCCAGTTACCCTTATTTTCTACCACTACGAGTATTAGATATAAACAGAGAAAAGCCAGCAACTGGAGCCTTGTTGGGAAAGAGGAATCCCTGCTCGAAGGCTGCAGCCTCCAAC